TGGTTGAGACGTTCAATGACTAGCACAGTCCAAGTGACATATTCTCAGTATGATGACTGAATGCTCTGTTCATTCTCTTCTAATTAATACAGAATTAAAATTTCATACTGTATTTGGAAAGGTGCCCTTTAACTGAAGATTTTTCTTTTGAAGAAAAATACATAATTAAGGACAGTAGGTTACTGGATTGCACAAGTCATAACAGCTTTTTAAGAATAGCTTTCTCATGAAGGTAATTTGGACCCAGTATATTTATGCAATAAGCTCATTCCCATTTGGAAATTAAGAAACAAGCACTCTTTTGCTCAATATCAGTAATTATTAGAGAAATGCAAATCAAAACTACAATGAGATATCATCTCACACTACTCAAAATGGCCATCATTAAAAAGTCTACAAATAATAAATCCTAGAGAGAGTGTAGGGAAAAAGAAACCTGCCTCACTGTTGGTGGGAATGTAAATTGGTGCAGCCACTATGGACGACAGTATGGAGGTTCTTTAAAAAAACTAAAAATAGAGTTACCGTATGATCTAGCAATCTCACTCCTGGGCATATATCTGGAGAAAACTATAATTTGAAAACACACATGCACCCCAATGTTCATAGCAGCAATGTTTACAATAGCCAAGACATGGAAACAACCTAAATGTCCATGCACAGATGACTGAATAAAGATGTGTGTGTGTGTGTGTGTGTGTGTGTGTGTGTGTGTAATATTACTCAACCATAAAAAGAGTGAAATAATGCCATTTGCAGCAACATGGATGGGCCTAGAGATTATAATATTGAGTGAAGTAAGTCAGACAGAGAAAGATAAATACCATATGATATCACTTAAATGTGGAATCTAAAAAAAGTTACAAATTCTATTTATAAACCTGAAACAGACTCATGGACATAGAAAACAAACTATGGTTACCAAAGGGAAATTGGCAGAGAGGGATAAATTAGGGATCAGGGATTAACACATATTACTATATAAAAGATAGGTAAGCAGCAAGGATCTGTATAGCACAGGGAACTATATTCAGTTTCTTATAATAACATGTAATGAAAAAGAGTCTGAAAAGAAAAAGTATATATGTATGTATATGTATAATTGAATCACTTTGCTGTACACCTGAGACTAACATTGTAGATCAACTACATTTCAATAACAAATAAAAAAACCAGCACTCATTGGGAAACAGGACTATTGGTCATGGGTTCATGGACTCTGAATCCATATATAACTTCTAAACTAAAGAAATTGAAACTGCATTAAGTTGAAATGGAATTTTCTCTAGTTAAAATGCCAATAAGCTTTAATGACACAAAGTAACTTAAGAAAAACATATGAGTACATACTTAAAAAGATTTACAAATTCAAATAAATATTAAAATCTCCAAAATTGTTTTTGCTTTAAGTTCTTGAACTTGGACACTATTTCTTTGACTTCCATTTCCTTTTTTTTTAACTTGTCTATTTTTTTTTCTTTTTGAGATAGACATATGTAAAATTTGTTGGCCCCTTACTATGCAGATACTAGGCTAAAATAAAATAGCATGCGTTATCATTTAATCCTTACAATATTCTTCTCATTTTACTGGATGAAGTATCTTAAGCATGATATTCTGATCTACTCCATCAACAAGGAACACAAAATTCAAATTGTAATGTCTAAATTGATCATTTGTCTATCACCCTTCTGACAGTATGTTTGGCATCAGGGAAGTAAATGAGGTATGGCTGGTTGTGGTGAGTGCACAGCTGACCTGAATCCCCATCTCCCTGTGTCAGGTGTGACCGGATGACTGCATTCTGGTGGAGGGTGTATAAGAGGACAGAGGGCGTCCATGTCTAGGATAAGCCTTCTAAGAAGTGGATGTGCCCACTCCATATTCTTTTTCCACTTTTTCCAACAGAGTGAGGGTTACAACAAGTCCTCCGGTGATAGTGGAGTCACAATATAGAAGAAGCCTTCGTTGCCAAGGAGGAAATCTGCTCAAGGACCAGGAACTCCTGCAGTGGGTAATTACATGACTGGAAATACACTTCCTGTTGTGTTTGCTACTGTACCGTTTTACATTTATTTGTTAAAGTAGCTAGCATCATATTAATGTATACTTATTTTTATTGTTTCCTTGCTTTCTTCCCCAAATTGCATAACTTCTTTTGTTAGGGGAACTTAACTCTCTTTCTGTTGATGTAACTTGGAAGGTACATGTTTTTATTTGCTATTATATTAGATGTGGATCTTACTATCTTCCTACCACTAACCTTTCCATAATTTTTGGCACACATTCCTTTTTCTGATTATAAAATAACAGTAATTTATGGTTATCACTTTCTTAGAAAGAGTGAAAAGCTTATTATTTCTTAATCGTTTTGTTGAAAGGTTGCTGATAGCCTTTTCAATGCATATCATTAAAAATGCGAAATGAAGATTCAGACCAAGACATATATATTGTAAAAATCCTGTATGTGTATGTGGTTTTACTGCTTGGTCGTTTAGAGAAAAATGTGGTGGCTTTTAACAATTCCCAGCTGTGAAAAAATCAGCGCCTATGAGTAGAGAAACCTGGGGTGTTTATTCTTTAAGTGACCTACCTGTATGATCTTGACAGAGAGTCATTTACTTTCACTGGAACTTGGCTTCAAATATATAGACTAACAACTGGTAGCTTTTATTGAGTGTTGTCTTTGTATCCAGAAAATGGCCTAGGTGCCCCCTACATATTAATTCATTTATTTGTCACAACAATAATATGAGATAATACTCCCTTTGCATCATTTTATAAAAGATAAACAGAAGAAAAATATATGACAGCTATTTAACGAAAGTCACTCGGCTAGTTGGTAGCAAATCTGAGATCAGAACGATCAGTTCCAAAGTAAACCGTATTAACCAGTTTACTAGTGCTTCTCAAACTGGAGTGTACCAAAATCACCTGGAGAGCTGTTAAAACACACATTGCTAGGTCCCACCCCCAGAGTTTCTGACGCAGTAGGCTGGAATAGTGCCTGAGAATTTGCATTTCTAACCAGTTCCCTTGGCTGCCGTTGCTGCTGGCCTGGGGACCAGACGGCCAGAAGCGCTGTGGTATACTCTACTGCTTGCCTTCTTCAGAAGTGTGATCATTTCTTTTACAAGAGCATTCATTCAAACTAATTAATTCACGTTATAAGAAAATGTTTTCAGTATGAAAATGTTTCCAATACTAAGATTTCATATTTCAAAACCTAGTCTATCAAAATGAATTTTTCTTGTCTTTTTCTTTAGATGTTTGAAACACTTTAAATGAATTATAGATGGAAGAACTGTCTTATTTGAGCCAAAAGTTAAGGTGATCATGTGTTAATTCATTTTCTTCGCTGTTTACCATTATTTGAATCACACTAGCACTTTCACATTTTACGTTCGTCTCTAGAAATACGTTAATTCCATTTTACATGCTAATGTATGTGGTTGGGTTTTAATATTTGCCACCTAGTTCCTATTTTTTAAAGTTTTCTTGGGAAAACAAGTCACTTTTTTTTTCCCACAGCCCCTTCTGCATAGCTCTCTGACAAACAGTACTTTTTATGGTCTTTGAACTGCATTTTGAATATTGTGTTTAATTTACCTCGGACATTCATTACAAAATTAAAGTTATCTTTTTGGATTATTTGAAAGGACATAGAAAATAGAGATAGAAAGCAATACCACAAACGTGTGAGAAAAGATGTGGAAATATAAATTAAGAGAGTGCATGGAGTATAGAGAAAAATATTCTAAAAATACAAATTTATATAAATTTTAAAATTCTGTGTCATATATACATGTCATACCTATCGATACATATATACACACACGTACAATGATTTAAGTGTACAGCATGCTTTCAAGAATTCAGATTGTCATATAAATTGTAGAATATCTTATATTAGGGGTATTTCTAAAATAAATTCCATGATAAACTTTAGTTCTATTTCCAACTAAGAAGCTTTGAGCAATATTACAGACTTAGATTATAAATAAAATAAGTAACTCTGAATAGAAATTGATGAAATAGGGACAGTCATTCCTGTTGAGTTTTCTGATGTTAAGGGTTTCTGTCTGAAGGATCCAGGAAGAATCTCTTCCTCAGGATTGTTTGCCTTCGAAGGCATCTGGGGCTTTGGACTCATGAGCGGGGAGAAAGATGTGGATTGGAACGGTCAAGTAAGAAAAAAGAATTAAAAAGTAAAATAAGTGAAGGGAACACATCCTAATTAAAACCACTTCTCTATCTTTTAGAAGCCCCCAAATGCACAGAGATGAAAGCAAGGCTGCTTGTTTTATTAGTTGCCTAACCAATCAATACCATCCTGGAAGCAACAACTGTATAAACACAGAGCCTCCAGCAACCGCTTTGTAGAGCCACCTGCACTCTGATCTAAACTGAACCGGAGTGACATTTCAAACATTCTCATGAGAAGTTTTCTACTTTCTCAGGATACAACATTCCACGTTGCCCATAAGGTTATTGGAAAATGTTCAGCAGAATTTTCTTATTGTAGAATGTGCAGTGCAGTATTTTGGAATCATAGCTGGAAAATATATTCATCCTTGATATGAACATACACAGTTCAGATATAATGTGTACCATTTCAAAAGAACATTTAAGGAATTACACTCTGTTCCTGATAATTACTATCGCATGTGTTGCTGATTAATATTATTATTTCTTTATTTCTTTCCAAATTAGAATAGTGACAAACAAAATTATGTTTTGTTAAAAAAGTTTAGCTTCTAGTGTGTACTCTGAGAGTCATCTTAAATAGACAGATCTTTTTATGAACCTCAATTAAAATGTGCTTAAAAAATTAGTCCGAACTTCTAGAGTTTTTCCTTTGAATAAATCAAAGGCATTTACTATTCGTTATTGCCAAATAGCTTAGCCTGACTGGAACCTTTAGTTAAAATTTGTCGTTTTAGAAATAAAAAATTAGCTAACAATTAATGAATACTTTTTCTTTGCTAAGTATTGTGATAAGGTTTTATTCATTGACTTACTGAATGTTTACCACAGCAATGTGAGGTATATATTATCATGACATTATGAGAAAACTAAAAGAATTAAACAGCTTTCCTCAAATTCTACAGCTTTAAAGAGAATTTTTTCCACTTAACCGTTATTCTCAATACCTGCACACTAACAGTTGAGTTGATGGCCTATTTACTGAATTTTGGCCTTTTTTTTACAGAAGATGAATCATGTGGTACTTGTCTAGCTGTAGTAATAGAAGAAAATTCCACAGCTATTAATTAAAATTAAAATCTACTTTGTCAGACACTTCATTAGCAAAACCAGAAATTATGTGAGAAACAGGCGTGGCAGTGGCCATGTTTCATTTGCTTTTATATTCACCTCAGGAGAGCTCAGACAATTGGAATGAAATGCATCTGTTAAACTCAATTTTCTAAAAGTGTGTGTCATAAAGTACAACAAATTCTTACCTGAGAGTAAGTAAGAAGCAGGAAAAAAGGGCTTAGGGTGAGGGACAGATGAGAGAAGGGGCAGGGATTCAAGGCAGCTTCTGGAGAGAGGAATCCTGACAGATGAACCTGCCCTCGGGCAGCACAGATCCTCTGAATTCACAGAAACCAAGAAACGCCTTCCTCCATCCTTAATAACTCTTCAGTAATGTGGATCCAGGAAGAATGGCTAGACAATCCCCCTACTTAGCTTTCTTTGGCAAGCTAGTGATGATTAGAAATGACATATCATGGGCCACGTGTACACTTCCCCATTATAAGTCTACCTTAAAAAGACTAAATAGGAATCACCTCATAGTTCTACGTGTAATCGTTAGTGATATACCCGATTTACACAAGGGGACTTGAGGAAATTTCTTCAGAAACCAAGACAATTCACTTCTCCCATCCAGTCCCCAGATTTCTCCTCACTTGTTTGCTGATGACTGAAATGCTTTTAACTAGTGGCAGAAATTTCATTCCACTGAGAGAAAGGCTCAAACTGTAAAAGGTAGAAGGCTAGCTCATTAACTCTTTTGGCTGAAACTTGTTTACCTTAACCAGAAATACAGTTGATTCTTTCTGGGTTTAATGAACCCACCTGAATGTTGCAAGGAAAAGGACCAAAGTTGACTAATCCTAAAGCTTGAGGCAAGGCAGGGGCTCAGAAGGATGGATGACATATAACATATCTCACATTCCATGATTCACCACTGTACCTGGGATTTTCCGTGGTAACTTATACATGTGTGATATACATAGAGATATTTTTGGCAACCATGGGAACAGATGTGAGTTAGGCTGAAATGCTTTTGAGCCTTAGGAATATTAGCTAGGCTGCTTCAGGCTCCTTGTGGAGTCTCCTCTCTCCCCCCTTTTAAAGCAGTCAGTCACGTTTGAAGGGGAATTTATCCACAGGGAATATATCTGAAAAACAACAATCTTTGTATTTAGGATGATCAACAAATCCAATGTAAAATAAATAAAAACAAATCCAGCTTACATATATCCTAGTAAATTTATAGAACAAAGAAGAAGAGAAGATTATTTTAAAAATGCCAGGGAGGAAGGAGAACTCACTTACAAAAGAGTAGCAATTAGAGTGAAGAATGATTTATCAACTGAAGAATGCTTCTAGCAACTCTGAAGCTACAAGACAGAAGAATAGTATCTTCAAAGAGCTGAGAGAAAAGAACTGTCAACTTAGATTTCCAGCAAAAATAGCTTTCAAGAATAAGAACAAAATCAAGATACTTTTAGAAAAACAAGAACTGAGAAGTCTACTACCGATAGCCTCTCATTTTTAAAAAAAATTGGAAAAGATAGTTGTAGAAAGAAGAGACTGGTTTTAAATGCAAAAAGGCATAGTGAGTAAGAATAATGAACATTGACTAATAAAACGATGATACTGATTTTCATGTACTGTGTATACTTATAATGTGTAATTAATACACTGATTCCAATGAATTTCTCTGTCCCTTTGAGACTTCCAGTTCATTGATCCTGATACTTTTCACTGCCCTCTTCTCCTCACTTCCACAGCTTAAACATTGTAAATACTACTATGTATAGACCCTTCTCTCTTATCTTAGCTGAGTTTGCACTTTCAAGGCAAAGCTAGCACATAATTTAATTCTAATTCGCCACCTGCTCAATACCTGCATCTCTGCAGCTGAATGGTAGGAGAAAAACAAAAAACATGTTGATTGATTTTGCTTTTAAATTAATGATCACTAAAGTGAGATTTAAATCCAGCTGGACAAATCTTCCTTTATTTCTGTTTTTCCCTCTACCATTTGTCTTAAATTACTTTTCTCTATCTGTTTACATCTTTTTAAAAAATTTAAATGTTTATTACTAGTTCACTTAGAAATAATAATTCTATTTCATGTATGTATGATTAACATTTTGTATGAAAAACAACGGTTTTTCCCAAAACAAACAAAAATTAATGAGAATGGCATCATTTCACACTTCTTGCAAATCTCTTTCAAGTCTATCTCAATAGAAAATGTTTTCATATCTGCTTCTGTATTCAATTTCTTGCAGTAAGTTGTATTTGTTGAATCCTATGAAGAAAATTCAGGTTTGCACAGATACGTAGTTGAAAAATAATGAAGTATTTTGTTAACCTGTTGAGATAATTGTGAATATCTCTTCACATCTTTATCACCTCCTCACTAGCATCATACTCTCTTGTTGACATTGCTTTCTGTTTCACTGGGAAAATCGAAGCACTTTAAGGAAAATTTTATAAACATCTCTATCATCCACACACTGCCTTCTCACTTACGACCAATGATGAACTGTCCGTGTTCTTATCTGAAACCACTCCCTCCCCTGTGAACTGAATTCCATTCTCTCCTGCCTACACAAGGACATCACTCCAGCCACTTCTTTTCTCCATCTCCTACATGATCAGTTTCTTTCTTCCTAACTGCATTTGTCCTAGTTATGTACAAACATGGTCTTTCTCCCACCAAACAGAAGAGAAAGGAAAACAACAAAAACAAATCCGGACTACACTTCCCCTATCAGTTACCACCTCATTTCTTAGCTTCCATTCACAGCTTGTTTCTCAGAAGTATTCTATATTTCCATCTCCAGTTCTTGTGCACATCTTTCTTTTTTGCTTTTAAAACAGAAAAATGCACATATTGCAAGTATACACTTGATTGCTTTTCACAAGTTGAACACATTCATGAAAACAGCACCCAGAACATAACATTACCAGCACCCCAGAGGCTTCCTCTATGCTCCCTTCCAAAAACATTTCTTCCCAAAATGAAACTGTCAAGTTTCCTAGCTTCTAACACCTTAGTTTGGTTATTTTGGTTTTTGTATTTT